GAAATTCTCTCGACCCGTTCTCAGATTAAATCAAAACCATTAACGATTCAATAGACGTTCACGTGGTCTGTTCCAGTTGTCAATTAGCCCGTCGCTGGTGTTGGCGGCGTTGCCAAGTCGTGTCAAGCTCATCAATATATGCTCAGACAGTCAGGCGGCACTTGGGGCGCTTATGAACCCAAAGGTATCGTCGAGACTCGTCTGGGAACGCCTGGGTGAACTGGGAGCTCTGGCACGAAGGAACAGAATTAAATTATTCTGGGTGCCGGGCCACAGCGGCGTCCAAGGCAACGAAAAAGCCGTTGTGCTAGCAAGGCAGGGATCATCGGCATCCTATCTTGGTCCAGAGCCAGTACTGGGAATACCCAAATGTATGGCCCGTAGTGCACTAAAACTCTGGATGAAGGAAAAGCACAATGTCCATTGGAGAGACAGACAGGGGCACAGGCACAGCAAGACTTTTAGTAAACAAAAAACTAAAAAAACTATAAATCACGAAAGATGACCATCACGTGACAATTTAACTGTTTATCAAAAACAATCGATACCGCCAATTCAAATGTGTTAGACAGAGAAAAACAATCCAAAAGCCGCTGGAAATACATAATATATGCATTCTTCTACTATTTCCAGTTTTGTGTTATTTTTTAGAATGTTTTTTTCTGATAATGATAAACACCATAATTGTAGAAGACTGCTGCATTTTGCTTCTAAAATGATACTAGGCATCACGTTGTAGCTTTTATTTCTATCAATTTGTAGATCTTCAAAATAGATAAATATGCTTGATTTTATACAAAAATAGCAAACAAGTGTTGTGGTAATTCTCACAATTTGTGTCAGAGAATATTCGGATTGTACTAGTTCAAATTTAAATAAAAATCATTATTACAAATTGTATAGCACTACTAACTATATTTTTTGACACAATTTGCTGTTACCAGGCACTATTGTAAACTGAGTTGGGGAAGAATGTACAATGTTGTAGTTTTTTCTTTTTAAGGAAGAATGTACAATATTGTAGTTTTTTCTTTTTAAATGTTTTTTTTTCTCAGTGTACCTGTTTAAATGCCTTTATATTAACACATCCATGTAACCATACTAAATACATGCTACATGCCACTTAAAAATGTTATATGATTGGGAACATGAAAATACTAAATTTTAATTTTTTTAATGTAAATCATTATTAAAAAAAATCATATCTAATATATTGTGATTTTTTTAAAATTTGAATAACTAAATAACTGTAAAAAAACTATTTATTTTTACAGCAAAAGCTATTTTTTGAATCTATTCACTTTAATCTGTTCACATTAAAAATATTGATCATAATTGAATAGTATATGACGAACCTTTCCTTATACAGAAGAATATTCAAATTTCAATAATATAAATCTTTTTGTTTATTTAATCAAAATATGCTCGGACACGTCGATTAGTATTTTGAATTGCGCATTTTTTAATGCAAGAAAATTATATACAGGTTGTCCCAAATTTGAGATATGACGTCATCGATTTTTTTTTAAACGGCAACTCCAATTTTTTTGTAACTCTTCTTAAAGATTATATTAAGTTACATGTTTGTGCAAAGTTATAAATGTTTATACCTTGTTACTTCTAACCAAACATTGCTATTATCTAATTCTAAAAATTATTTCAACTTCACTAGCTTTTCTTTGAAAAGAAATGCTTAAAATATTGTTAATTTTTTTATCAAACTGAAAATACCCTAAATGAAACTAAATCGTGTTTAGAACATTTCTAGTAACTTCGGCTAGAATTATTCTAATAAAGTTCTGTTTTATCAGCTTTTTCAACTCCTGAATAGTTGCCTCAGTTTTTATAGGAATAAAAATTTGAAACTCAACATATTATATGTTGAGTTTCATATAAATAAACTTCATATCTCAAATTTGAGACAGGCTGTATAATTTTTCTTACATCAAAAAGAGCGTAAACATTTTTTATTTCTTGATTCACATCTATCAATTAAATAATATATAACACAACACTGAAGCTTGAATTACACAATTGTGTATCTTGTCTAAGCTTTAATATTATCATACCAGATTTCTAAAAATCAAAACAACCACAAATCCAGTAATTTCTTCAATATTAAATAAAATTCATTAAATTTACTGACATTTTACCACACCCGGCAACACTGTAACGATCTTTTATTAGACTCTACTTATAGTCGAAGGTTCTGGCCACGCCCTCGCTCCGATCCACGTCTCAATCGTATCGGGCCATCCCCACCACCGATACCACGTGACGTCCAATCAGTGTAAAGCCCCGCCTACATGTGTCAGTGAATTAAGTGTGTGCATTGAATAGAGGAGGTATGCCTGGGGTTTCTACCGTGGAGATTGAGCGAATATTTATATTAGGGGGTATTGATAGGTTGAAGTGTCTTAGTTAGGGATAATATTTCTTTTAAATGGTTTTGATGTTTCTTTATTATATAGGTAGGTAGATGGTTTAATTATTTTTTGAATTGGTTTTCGTGTTGATTGAAAAATAAATGATTCACTGAATACTAGAAAAAAAACTGGCACTACTAATTTTATTAATACTTGTACCTACTACATACTAATAATTGTACCTACTAAAATTTATTTCTTTTTTTTTCAAACTTCCCAAAAGTATTAATTTTTGCGACGTGATTGACAATATAAAAAAGTCATTTTAATGCCTAGGCATAGTAAAAGAAAAGCACTTTTACGCTTAAGCACAAAGTTGCGAAAAAATATTATTAAACTGAAACTGACATAAAGTGTCAAATTCAAGGAGCGTAACCATAGTTTCTCGATATATAATTATATACAAGGTATTACTTTTAAATCTTTTTATGTATTATTTAGGACGTTTGAAATTGTTTAAAAAATTATTTGTGGCGTTTGAAAAAAAAATAGCATGTTCTATTCGGATTCGGAGTAAAAATGACTTTTTGTGTCTCGTGTGTGAATAAAAACTTGCCAGAAATAGTGTCATTTTTACTCCTGATAAAACAATATACTATAGGTACCTATCTATTATTTAATAGGTATTTGATATGTAAGGTAAGTATATAAATATTTCTTGTATTATATTTATTCTGATTTAATATTTCTAATATGATACTATTATGGTTGGTGTTGGTCTTGCACCAAAACTAATAGTCTCGCAAGTCTATAGACTCGATGTAATGCTGTTTGTTCAAAATTGTTGTTTATTGTTTATTCACCCATTATGTAAATTTTAAAATAATATATAAAAATAAATATGTGATAATAAAAAGGTTGAATGAGCAGCTTTAAAAAACATTTTTTTGAGAAAAATGTTTAAAAAAATTTAGCAATTTCTTCTAGTCGGTCTTAACAGAAAAAACCCTAAAAACGTAAGAAATATAATGAAATATTGATATATATTGATAAAATTCAATAATTCTATGTTTGTTTATTCACCCATTATGTAAATTTTAAAATAATATATAAAAATAAATATGTACCTAATAATAAAAAGGTTGAATGAGCATCAGTTTTAAAAAACATTTTTTTGAGCAAAATTTATAAAAAAGTACCTAGCAATTTTTTCTAGACGGTCTTAACAGAAACAACACTAAAAACTTAAAAAATATAATGGAAATTATAAAATATTCATTCTGTCAAAAAACTCGCATATTTTTCAATCAACAAAAATTTTCTACAAAATTCAATAATTCTATGTTACGGTTTTATTGTTCTAAGCTTAAAAATAATTTTTGTATTGACTGAATTCAGTTGACGAACGAACCTTGGACAAACATCGCGAGCAGACGTCTGAGCAGTTTAACTAAATGGCTGAAAATTGGTACTCTTATACAGGGTGTCCCAGAAATAAGTGCAACTGGTAGTATAGTTCAACCCCAGAAACACGCCTATGAGGTTTTTTTCGCGAAAAAAAAATTTGAAAATTCAAAATTTTTGGAAAAATTTTTTGGATTTTTTTTTAGTTTTAAGTTAAAAAACATAATTTCTTGATAATATGGCAACATAGGTATTAGATTAAATTTACAAGCACGAAAATCCAGAAAAGATTCAGTGGTTCTTAAAATTTTAGTAAAAAATCATTTTCTTTGGAAATTTTCAAAGTAAAATAACTCCGTTATATTGGACTTTTGGATATTTGAAAAACGATAAAGGGAAAATATGTTTCTTTTATCGAGATTTTCTACCCCTTAAAATACTTGCACTTATTTCTGGGACACCCTGTATATACTCAGATCCAAAAAAAAACACAACGGAAAATTTTTTGGTCTTTAGTTTAAAATGTTATATTTTTTTAGCCCTATATTTCCTGGACTTTAGTAGTACCTATATCAACCTTAATTCGTCAACTCAGTTTTTTATAAACTTTAGTAAGTATTAGGTAATAACATAAACATTAAAAAACAACTCTTCAATTAACCCTGTATAATAAGCCAAATACTCAGTTTGTAAAAAACTGAGTTAATGAATTAAAGTTGATATATTTATACACAGTTTGCAAAAAAAAATCGTGAAAATTGGGCTAAAAATACAACAACATTTGACGAAAAAATTCTCCGTTGCTTTTTTTTCTGTATCTATCTGAGTGTAGAATTAAAAAAGATTCAGCTTTTCAAAATTAGGCCAAAAAACACATTTTTATCTCCATCTATTTCTTTAAATGTCAGATTTGACAGACACCCGAAAGCTGTAGTAGGATAGTTTCTATGTTATATTTTATCAGAATCAAGGCATTCAATCATCTCTCGTAATACTTAACAGCCATCCCCGGTATAACCCTATAACTCTATACACACAGAATCCACACAACAAACAAGGACAACCTCACAAAACCCGAAACTCCTCCCACTTGAACCCCTACAGAGGCGGGGCCTGACAATAACCTCACCCGTACGCATGCCTGTGTGGGCGTACCCAAACCGTCTCATCTCAACTCTCCTGTCCCCGACGTAATAAAGATCACTATTTTGAAGTCTCACTCCACTTTGACAGATCAGAGAGTCGACAGCAGACAGGTCAAGTGACGTGATACCACGCGCGTGTTTGTATATTTACTCGTGATGGTGATGTGATTGACATTTCTCATCTCATTTAGTGTGTTTGATAGAGAAAAAAAAATGGCTTTCGAGGATAGATCCAGCCCAAACGCGGGTAGTGACTCGAATAACAGCAAGTTTGATGGACCAAACTCTCCAGAAAGTAGCAGAACTTCACCCTACACTTGTACGACATCTCCTAAACCCGAACAGGCTGAAAGATCGTTCTTTAGAATCGCATCCTTTGCTTTATCCAGTCCAAAATCAGAATTCCCCGATTCACCGGCCAGTTTTCGATCACCATCACCCCAAGAAAGCGTGGCTTCGAGTGTATCACCACCCCCAGTGATTCACACACTTAAATACTCCATTTACAACATCCTCCAACCAGAGTTTGGTAAAAAGGCTCTGCTAAAAACGAAATCTTCTCCAAAAGTCGGTTTTAGACCCTACGAAGAATCAAGTTTAACGAAAAAGAGTTTGAATTTGGCGCCTCTGGGGTCGTTGTGTCAGACAGTGTCACAGATTGGGAGTTCCGGTAATGGATTGGACTTTGTGAGTGTGCAGAAGAGTCCTGTGAAGGCTGCTGTGGTTCCTGCCGTGCAGGAGGAGGGAAAGAAAGAAGAGGGAAAAGTGCCTACGTTGTGGCCTGCGTGGGTTTACTGTACCAGATACTCAGACAGACCTAGTTCAGGTAAGAGATTTGGAAACAGTATTATTTTTTTGATTTGAATGGCAGGAAAATGATCAATATATAGTTCATACCAAATACACTTTTAGTCACGTGATTAAGCTTCACCGGCACAGCTTTGTCCACTTTTATATATTTTCTTTTATTCGAAATACTTTAGGAAACAAAAATAAATTAATAATAAATAAGTATATAAACACTTATTATATTTACATAAACAAAAGTCATCTTCTCCAAAAGAAGCAAACCAAACCAAACTCGTAATACAAGACTAAAGTGTCAAATGTCACATAACTTAATAACTGTTTTCTGTTACTTATATCAATTTAAAATATGAACTTCTCTCAAAAACGATTATCAATACATACATACGTATATCTAATAGTTACATCCATACACCATATTAAAAATTATACACACTAACTAATACTTAATAATCATTAATAACGTCACTATGATACTATGATCACTAACAAAAAATTTAACATGATTATAGAACTCAATTATTTAATCAATTCTTATACCTATAGTTTAATTTATTGACTTATATGGTTTATTTCATTTTAAATACTTAAATTTAAGCTATTACTTTTGTATTCTCTGAGTGTTAAATTACCTACTAATTACCTATTTATTTATAAATGGGAATTTAAATCTTCACATCTATAGGTAGATATACGATAAATTTTTCCTAATATAGAAAAAAACCACATAGATCACTGTCTATTTTGTACAATGTCATTTGTCATTGCATTTTATTGTTACACCATTTAAAAAATGGCATTGAAGCAATTCTTACGTTTAAATGTATATAATTTGACTGACTTCTGAGATTAGTATAGAATTGGTATTATACAGGATATGTCTCTAATTTTTTAATTTTTTTTTAATTCAAAAATTCAGAATAAGTCGCAAGCTATTAAAAACAGGTATATTATAAGTATACCTTATAAAAGTTGAAGAGTTTTGTAAAATCTATCAGAAAAAATTATAATATTATATACAAACCGTTTAAAAAAATTGAAATTTTTTAATTTTAAGTAGTAACTACTTGGTGGGGTGGGGGGTTGGTAAGGGGGTTTGGGAGGGTGTTAAAAATTTAAAAAAACCGTAACTCCAAAATTACAGTAGCTAGCGAAACGCGGTTTTCAATTTAAGATTAGGAATAATATTTGCAAAAAAAATTGTAATAACATCAAAATCAGTCAAAGTCGCAGTTTTTGAGATAAAAAAAATTGGTAAAATTCCTTTACTTTGAAACTAAAAGAACTGCCTACCAGGCTAAAATAGGTTGTTGCATTTAAAAAAAAACATGTTATATTAGTCACACTTTTCTGAAGCACCCTGTATAATCTATAATAATTTTAAAATGCGTATCTTAACCTTCCCTATAGCCTTTATATTTAATATTTTTTCGTAAACCTCGAAACAAATGAGATAATGGACTTAACTCTATCGTTGACTCACACTGTACAACTACAGTTTTGTTTTAAAATAAAAAAATATACAGGATGTCCCAGAAATAAGTGCAAGTATTTTAAGGAGTGGTAGATCTCGATAAAAGAAACATATTCTCTTTTTATCGTTTTTTTTAAATAAGTCCAGTATAACCGAGTTATTTTAATTTGAAAATTAAAAAAAAACGATTTTTTGCTAAAATTTTGGGAAGGAACCACTGGATCTTTTCTGGGTTTTCTTTCTTGTAAATTTATTCTACTACCTGTGTTGCCATATTTTCAAGAAATTACGTTTTTTAATTAAAAACTAAAAAAAATTCCAAATTTTTTTTTTAAAATCCCTAATTTTCAAAAAAAAAACATTTCGCGAAAAAAGTTCATAGGCGTGTTTCTGGGGTTGAACTATACTACCAGTTAAAATACTTGCACTTATTTCTGGGACACCCTGTATAGTGTAATTTCTAGATAAGCTCTTTTTGATTGATTTAAATGCGATCTAATTTTTACGAGCGTGTTTTTTATCGCTCTGTGGTACCGGGGTACGACTTCAACTTCGGCGATCTGCCGTCAGATGTCGGCACCGATCCCCGTTTGAGCTTTGCGAGCGCCGGACCACACACGACGCTGATTATGCCGCGGTACGACTTGTTGTAAAATGATACTTTTTGCGGTACTGCCTGCCATAGGACGCGTTACGGACTCGGTATATGTAAATTTCCTTCAAATAATATCGTTAAACGAGAAAGAGTAGTAGATTACATCTGTGGTACTGATGGTACCTAGAAATAAATGGTCGTTTGTAATAGGTACTAGAAGGAAATTGAGATGAATTTATTATACACTCAAATAAAAAATTAATTAAAAGAAATCTTTCAGAAAAATTGGCGCCGGGAAGCACGTACAGTGGCGCATCTAGAGATTGAGTCTGGGAGGGGTAGTATGAATATTCAAAAAAGTACTAAATTTGAATTAAATTTTCTTTGGAAGGTATTGTAACTGTGGAAAAAATCTACTTGGATTGGTTTGGATATTCTGTTTTAATTTGTATTATTAACTTTTTTGGAACAATTTTATTTTATACCAAATTTAATCTTATTAATTAATTTCTTTCTGGGAGGGGTATTACTCCCATTACCCCTCCTGTATATGCGCCCCTGTATAGGGCTTGTTTCTCTCTACAATTTTCTGTTTCACAATGTACCGTTTGTGTCCGGGAAGGGTTCATAGTTTCATAGTTGTCGATTTTCGAAAGAAATCAGTACATGTATATTATTTCGTATATTTTTCATTTTATTGATTTTATGGAAAGCATTGTTCATTAAAATGTTGTATCCTATGTTATAGGGCTCGTTTCTCTCTACAATTTCCCGTCTCACGATGTACCGTTTGTGTCCGGAAAGGGTTCATAGTTTCATCGTTGTCGATTTTCGAAAGAAATCAGTACATGTATATTATTTCGTATATTTTTCATTTTATTGATTTTATGGAAAGAACAGTTCATTAAAATGTTGTATCCTATGTTATAGGGCTCGTTTCTCTCTACAATTTCCCGTCTCACAATGTACCGTTTGTGTCCGGGAAGGGTTCATAGTTTCATCGTTGTCGATTTTCGAAAGAAATCAGTACATGTATATTATTTCGTATATTTTTCATTTTATTGATTTTATGGAAAGCATTGTTCATTAAAATGTTGTATCCTATGTTATAGAGCTCGTTTCTCTCTACAATTTCCTGTTTCACAATATACCGTTTATGTCCGGGAAGGGTTTATAGTTTCAAAGTTGTCGATTTTCGAAAGAAATCAGTACATGTATATTATTTCGTATATTTTTCATTTTATTGATTTTATGGAAAGCATTGTTCATTAAAATGTTGTTTCCTATGTTATAGGGCTAATTTCTCTCTACAATTTCCCGTCTCACAATGTACCGTTTGTGTCCCGGAAGGGTTCATAGTTTCATCGTTGTCGATTTTCGAAAGAAATCAGTACATGTATATTATTTCGTATATTTTTCATTTTATTGATTTTATGGAAAGAACTGTTCATTAAAATGTTGTATTCTATGTTATAGGGCTTGTTTCTCTCTACAATTTCCTGTTTCACAATGTACCGTTCGTGTCGCGGAAGGGATCATAGTTTCATAGTTGTCGATTTTCGAAAGAAATCAGTACATATATATTATTTCGTATATTTTTCATTTTATTGATATTATGGAAAGTACTGTTCATTAAAATGTTGTATCCTATGTTATAGGGCTTGTTTCTCTCTACAATTTCCTGTCTCACAATGTACCGTTTGTGTCGGGGAAGGGATCATAGTTTCATAGTTGTCGATTTTCGAAAGAAATCAGTACATGTATATTATTTCGTATATTTTTCATTTTATTGATTTTATGGAAAGAACTGTTCATTAAAATGTTGTATCCTATGTCATAGGGTTTGTTTCTCTCTACAATTTCCTGTCTCACAATGTACCGTTTGTGTCCGGGAAGGGATTATAGTTTCCTAGTTGTCGATTTTATCGTGTTACAGACGGACAGACAGACACCATGAAAATATTTTGTATTTAGGTTGTACTCATTTTGAGTGAAATTAAAAAAACTTTTTTTTTGCCGATTCATACCATATCTGATGGTATGGTCGGCTAAAAATTGCAAAAATGGTTGGTAGCAAGTTGATCTCGTTCTTAAAAATTAACCAAAGCATGTGTGACACGAGTCAAAAAACAAAATCCTCAGGAGACACGGTTCTGATCGAAAAATAATGTTTTAGGAACAGTTTTACTCACGAAATTATTGCACAGGGTGTTTTAAAGTTAAGGTAAAAAAACAACTATTCAATTAACCCATCTTTTTCTTAACCAGAATACATCAGGATTATAAGAAAAAGTCAAAAGTGTAAAACTTGGAAAATAAGTTTGTTATAATAATGCTTTTATTTATTCACTATTCTAATAAAGAATATGCTTTCCTTCAGAAACTCTATATTTATTTATCTAGTAATGCTAAAAACTCTATTTGAAAGTCAATTAGAGAAAATAGTTTGATTCATTGGCAAGCGATGTAAATATTTGTGATCAGGTAAAATTGTGATGTAAGAGGAGGCTTAGCTTGTCGGCGGCAGGTCAGTAGTTGATAGGCCGGCCGGCTGTGTAGTGTTGTGTTTTGTCACAGAGCTGACAAATGGGGATTGCGAGTCTTTTGACTAACATAGTTGCAAGTCGTTTGACTGTAAGCCAACGGGGTCGTTTGACCACAGGAAGAAAACCTCTTTTGACGTCCTGCCTTCGAGTTGGTCTTGAGAGTTTGAGGTCTCCATAATGTCTTCTCTAGTGAGCTACCCCAATTAGGTTATTCGATTGGTATGCGAATCTGTTTAGCGGCAGAATTGCGTCCGGGGGAATCCCCTATACTATTTCAGGTGACACTAGCTAATTGTTGAAGATTATTAACCAATATATCCGAATAGTATTTAAATTAGATGGAAGATATGGAATGGGATATATTGAATAGAATGCCAGTGATGTCAGTGGCTAGGGGGCGGAGT